GATTAATATGTATTCCTTGAATTAAGATACATTAAATTAATCAATGAAAGTTATAAGAATCCGATACATCATAATGCCTTACACCGAAGATTTTCTTCATTCATTCATCATGTTACTGCCCTACATGCACCTTAACTTAACCAAGTATGTCCCATGTTAACCTATAGCAGGCGTCATTCTGCAGCCACAACTCATTATCTTGCACCTCGCCTACCACTGCGTGCTTACACATGCTGAAGTTTTTAAGACACTGATTTAGACAGCGTGCCTATGAAGTAAGTTTGGTTTGTGGTCTATAATCCCTAAAACACTTACTTGCAAGCAGGTTTATGGACGCCACCCAAAGCCATCTACTTACGGATAGGTTTCTTTGCTAAGTAATTGACATCAAATTTTTAATGTTTCTTGATTATTGTCATAAGTCTTTCAATTTTACTGTGATTTGCAATCAATTTTTCTCCATGGATAAGATAAAAGCATGGATGGCATATAATGATGTTGTCGTTTATTATTTACCATAAAATTAAATCCCACTGCGACGCGGTGTCACACTATACGTGTACGCTCAAATAGACTCGAGCTGAGTCTGTCCCACCCGGTGTACAACTCTCTGAGAGCTTGAGCACAACAAATTTTTGTCACCGAGGCGCACACAGCGCACGGGCTGATTCCCAGACTGGCCAGTCGTGCCAATTTTCCAATTACATGCGCCCAGGCCCATGGGGTAAAATTATCGAACACTACAAATGTATCCGTAGTTGCAGGTGACGTGTATATATACTGGGAAACTCTCTATTAGTTGTTTAGTGTTATGAATTAGCACTTACAACTATATATCACTTACTAGCTTAAGCCTTCATTTGTGATTTATAATATTGTTAACAAAGTTTATCAATACCGAACCAACCTAGAGGATCAAGTATGTACAATCAATAGAACAGGAAAGTGAGACAAGTCAAATCTTACGTATAGCCATCAATTGATACACGGAGAGCATGAATGAAGTATAAAATTAAGATACTGGCCAGGAAATGCGCATATGAATCTTGAGAAAAAATTTTACAGAGAAGCTGTAACAAAAAGAGAAAGCAAGAGAACAAAGAAGAACAATCACCTAGTGGTGACAAAAAATTTAGTGATATTAAATAATTAATAGGAGATAATTTTACCCGAAAAAACCTATAAAAATACAAGACCAAATCAATATATTCACAAGAACCAGTATAAAATAGTGTTGCAAGGCACCACCGATAATTATGCAAGATATCATATTTTATGTCCGTGTCTTATCCCGACAATAAATAAGTAAGAAAAATAAGTATGTTGATACAATCTCGCAGAAGTAAACACGTCGTCACTTTGACATCTAAATTTATGTCTATCTTGTGCCATTTCTCTCGACAATATTTTTATTAAAATATAAATTAACAACCAAATCAGTTAGTATAACGTAATCACGATTTACTATTCTCTTCAGCTATTAAGTAGATTAACTCTTTCCTGTATATAATAGGATATTTCACTTGTCAATAAAGTGGTGAACTCTGTATCTATACAGCAGCATTTTTTGTGTATGACTAGCGACCTCAAAATCTCTCATTAAGTTTGATACAAAAGCTCTTTAAGCACAAGGCAGCCCTATGTTTTCATCTAGTCTTGCCTAAGGTTTTAAGCAGTCCTTTTATATGATTTATTCTTCTATACAATTACATTTATCCAGCTTGTAACAATATTGACGTTTACACTCAGGAAGACACTGGTAAGCATGCTCATTCAACAAACTGAGAGGCAGATCGAAATATCTTAGTGTTGAGTGCAGAGATGCATCAGTTAATGGAAACTATAACCTACAACGTTGAAAAGACCATCGAGGCGTCTAGAGCAGAAATGTTGAACCTGTTATAAGGTTAGTGGCAGACAGAGGAGACAGACGTGCTAGGGAGACAGGAGACAGGTCTGAGTTTGAGAAAGACATTGTAATAAAAAAAAGGAAAAGATTTGGAAAGCTGTATGAAGAAGTGGATAATAATATAAAAGAAATGACCAGTGAAGCAAAACTTATTAAAAGCAAAGATAGTGCAAGCAGCACATCATTTGTAGTTTCCAAGGAGGAGAAAGTTACTCCAGAAGAATTAGAAAAAGTAATGAGAAAGAGGGGACTGCTTACAAGGAAGGCTCTTTATGAAAACTGGGAATCTATAAGCTCATGTTCAAGTGGAAATGAAAGTAAAAGAGGATCTTCAACTGAGGGTTCAATTGATTTTGGGTCAGAGACTCGTGGAGCAGTGTCTGGGGATTGGGATGATGCTCCAATTCTGACTGACTTAAACTTACAAAATCCTCCAGCTGAATCCAAATCTGTTCCTGTTGAATCCATCCCAGAAGAAGCTGCCATTGATCCCAGAAAGGAAGAGCTACGATTTAGTTTTGTGAGTTCAAGTAGTATTGAAATAGACAGGGATGAGGTTTTTACTAGTGAAGTGGAGATGGATTTCCAGGACGTTGATGCTTTAGTAGAAGTTGCAGAAATAGACTCTCCTTCATCTGATGAAAGTGATGATCTAGAGGAGCCTTCAAAAGTACGGATCTCAGCTGCCACCATTTATGAAGATGCAGTCATCCAGGCCTTGGAGGGAGGAAATGAAAGAGGAACTGGAAAGAGAAAGAAAGTAAATGTTAATCCTCAGATTGACAAAGCAGAAGCAGTTAACCAAGCTTCAGTCAGTTCCTTTTCTGAACATTTATCAACAGAGATCATGGACCCCAAAAGCAGTGTCACTGAAGGTGCAGCTAGATTTGAAGAAAAAAAAGAATCAACAGAAAAAACACATCAACCTGAAGAAAGTTCTAAAAGTCTAATAACCCTGCATGAATCTCCCAAAGTAAAAGATAGGGAAGCTCTTCTTCCATCTGAAGGTAAATCTGAAGGAGAAGAAAGTGTACATAAAAAACAGCCAAATGAAGGAGAAGTGCTTGAGATTATCTATGAAGTGGTTACTGTGACTCGAACAAAAGAACCAAAGGCACAAACTGTTATTGAACGAGTAATCATAGAACCAGAAGAAACAGTTAGTGACACTGAATCCGATGCAGAAGAAACTTTAAAAACTAGACATTGAAGAGCCTAGGGATATTTACATCAGATGGAAACTTGCATTCTAAGATCAATCCGATAACGTCGATTTGATCTTACGAATGAGCTAAAAGGCGCTTTTGAAGTCCTTTATGACTGAACGCATAGCACAAATACATACCTTTATCGACATTGAATGAAATTCTGGCACACTATTCCATTATGAGGGATTAGCAGACTTCGAAATCTGAACCAGAGGATTTCATACCAATATTTTCGTCAGTTGAAGAGGGGCATACTAGTTATAGAAAGTAGATGGTGCAAGATGGCTCAAAATGAGCAATTTTGAGAATGTGAATTTGAAAATTGTTATCTATCCAATAGGCTTTCATCCCCAGGGCAAGGTCCTCGAAAGGAGAACCTTAATATTGTAGACGATTTCTTTGGCTCCGCATCAGTTAAACAGATGGTATGATGTTTTCAAGCACAATCAAATATTATCTGCGAGTCAGTTTACCACCTATAAATCTGCAAGTATGAATCCGAATTATATTTCTATAACCAGATCGTGCATTGTATCATGCAAATATATGGCAGGGGGTGATAAAATAGATGTAAAGATTTGTTCTGTTAACATCAGAATTACCCTACTTGAAAATTCATTTTGAACAAAGTAATCGCTCAGGTCAGAATGCTCTTCAATCACAAACAAACCAAGTTTATACTAGTAGTGGGCGTTACAATGAGAAGCGGAATACTTTTTGTAAAATGTAGCGACTATGAAGTTATTCAAAGTGAAATTACTATCCCATTCTATTTCCATTAAATAGCTCTCTGGCGTGTTGGAAGTATGAATTCGCAAGTTGTTAATAAGGCAGATTATCAGAAACTGCAACAGCATTGAAAAGCATAGCAGTGCATAGATTCTATAAGGACGATACATTAGATGTGGATGACTCTCCTGAGAATAGTTCATGAAATAGTGAAACTCTCAGTCTATGAGTGAATAAAGCAATATGTGTACAAACTTGATCTAGGACCCATTTGGGTAAACAACATCTATGCCAAACAGCCTATTCCGTTTCAGATCACTTACCACCTTAGATAAAACGTGTGTCGGAAGACCTCTTCGTAGTGTGCATTACTAAAAGTTACAGGACTGTAGCTTATTATAGCAGAGTTTCTTACTACCTCATATCACTGTGTATTACTGTGACTGGCTGACTAACAACTAGTGCATATAACAGAGTAGGACATATTCCACTTGAAAAATAGTTCAGATTATGCTCAGCTGCGAGCATTTATAAGACCTATATATAGATGATAATATAACTATTTGATCCTCTTGTTCGATAGACTGGTAGAAATGAAGAAGTAATTCTATAATTCCACAGAAAGTCGTATAATGGAGAGAATAGTTTTTGAAATGATTTGGTAAAGGGAGAGGTAGGCTATTCAGACCAAGAAGATCAACTTAACAGAAGACTTCTCAGCATCAAATTCCTTCGGCTCTGAGGGATATTGTATTACGGTGTTTTTCAGATGGAATACCAATTCATAGGGCTTATTGCTCATGCTTCTTTATTTGATGATTAGAATTATGGGCTCAAGTAGAGCTTAGCATTACTTTCGGACTAACAGAAAACTCGTGTGGATTTCATCTACACGCTTAAAGAGAGAGCTTCCTAATGTAATAGGCTCTGAGGAATGATCATCTGCTAGTGTCACACTCAACTTGTCCTTCACAAACTTATCGTAAGCGCATATTAGTGCTGCATCCCATAGAAAGTTTTGAATGAAATTAGAGCAGCAACCAATTGCAAGATTATAGAGGAGGAAGCCCAAGAGAGACATCCCACCACTTCTACCACTTCATCTTACTTAATTGTACAGACCGTTTGGATGAAAGCCTGATAAAATATGTACTAGAATGCACTACCATAGGAGAGGCTGCTCACCCAGAGATTGCAAGTGTCTCTCTTGAAATCAAATTAGAAAGGCATGTCAGTATTGATAGTTCTGTGTCTACACTGTCAGAAGCTGAAACAGTGATTCATGTTCCAATAGGAAGTCTGCCCAAGAAGATATCTGAGACAGCATCAGTGAAAGATGACAGTCAAATTGGAGTAAAGAGTGGAGAAGCCAAGGACCCATTAGTAAGATCAGTATCTGAAGAATTGATTACAAAGACTGGAAACCAAGGTGGAATAAAGCAAATCGGTAAGTCACCTACTGTTCTTGAAGCTGTTGAGAGTGTAAAAGAAGACATGAAGAAAGATGAGGACAAAGAGGAAGAAGTTACATCTTATGTTGAAGTGAAACCAATTCAAGAGAAAGAATTCAGAGATGATACTGGATATCAAAGGGCAGAAGTAGTCACAACTGGAAGAAAAATAGATGATGACATGCGAGGCTGTTCTGT